AGTGAGAACAGTGTTCCTGTTCTCTGTAGAAAGTTTTCTTCGAAAGATAATGATGTTCTTTGGAAAGTGTATGAATTTAAAGAAATGCTTTTGTGAGAAACGCACATGTGTTTCTCTGAAAAGTGAAGCCGTTGTTTGAGATTTATCAAAGTAGTGTTAGAACAGTGTTCCTGTCCTCTGTAGAACCTTTACTTCGAAATATAATCATGTTCTTTGGAAAGTGTATGAATTTGATGAACTGCTTTTGTGAGAAACGCATATGTGTTTCTCTGAAAAGCGAAGCCGTTGTTTGCTATATGTCAAAGTAGTGTTAGAAGTGTGAACAGTGTTCCTGTTCTCTGTAGACCCTTTACGTCCAACGATAATCATGTTCCTTGGAAAATGTATGAAGTTCTTGAAATACTTTTGTGAGAAACGTACACTAGTTTCTCCGAAAATAGAAGCCGTTGTTTAAGATTTGTCAAAGTATTGTCAGAAGTGAGAACAGTGTTCCTGTTCTCTGGAGAATCTTTATTTCGAAAGATAATCATGTTCTTTGGAAAGTGTATGAAATTAATGAAATGCTTCTGTGAGAAACGCCCATGTGTTTCTCTGAAAAGAGAAGACATTGTTTGCTATATGTCAAAGTATTGTTAGAAGTGAGAACCGTGTTCCTGTTCTCTGTAGAACCTTTACTTCGAAAGATAATCATGTTCTTTTGAAAGTGTATGAATTTCATGAAGTGCTTTTCTGAGAAACGCACATGTGTTTCTCTGAAAAGCGAAGCCGTTGTTTGCTATATGTCAAAGTAGTGTTAGAAGTGAAAACAGTGTTCCGGTTCTCTGTAGACCCATTACTTCCAACGATAATCGAACTTGGAAAATGTATGAAATTCATGAAATGCTTTTGTGAGAAATGTACATGAGTTTCTCCGAAAGGGAAAGCTGTTATTTGAGATTTGTCAAAGTATTGTCAGAATTGAGAACAGTGTTCCTGTTCTCTGGAGAATCTTTACTTCGAAAGATAATCATGTTCTTTGGAAAGTGTCTGAATTTGAGGAACTGCCCCTCACGCAGACCACGCCCCCTCACGCAGACCATGCCCCCTCACGCAGGCCCCGCCCCGGGGAATCATGGGAGATGTAGTAGTTGTGTGGGGCAGCTGGCCAGCAGGCCGAAACTTTGGGGATATATGGACCCGCCCCCTCACGCAGACCACGCCCCCACATGCAGACCACCCCCCTCGTGCAGGCCACGCCCCCACACGCAGGCCCCGCCCTCACACAGACCACGCCCTTTCACGCAGACCACGCCCCCTCTCGCAGACCACGCCCCCTCACGCAGGCCACGCCCCGGGGGAATCATGGGAGATGTAGTACATGTGTGGAATGGCTGGCTGGCAGGCCGAAACTTCGGGGATATATGGCCCCGCCCACTCACGCAGGCCCCGCCCCCTCATGCAGGCCCCTCCCCTCACGCAAACCATGCCCCCTCACGCAGGCCACGCCCCCTCACGCAGACCACGCCCCCTCACGCAGGCCCCTCCACTCACGCAGGCCACGCCCCCTCAATCAGGCCCAGCGCCTCACGCAGACCACGCACCCTCACGAAGACCACGCCCCCTAACGCAGACCACGCCCCCTCACGCAGGCCACGCCACGGGGGAATCATGGGAGATGTAGTAGTTGTGTGGAGCCACCGGCCAGCAGAGGGAAACTTGGGGGATATATGGCCCCGCCCCTAACACAGACCACTCCCCCTCACGCAGACTACGCCACCTCAAGCAGGCCCCGCCCCTCACGCAGACCACGCCCCCTCACTCAGGCCCCGCCCCTCACGCAGACCACGCCACCTCAAGCAGGCCCCGCCCCGGGGAATCATGGGAGATGTAGAATTTGTGTGGAGCAGCCGGCCGGCAGGCCGAAACTTCGGGGATATATGGCCCCGCCCCCTCACGCAGGCCACTCCCCCTCACGCAGACCATGCACGCAGGCCCTGCCCCCTCACGCAGACCACGCCTCTGACGCAGACCACGCCCCCTCGCGCAGGCCCTGCCCACTCACGCAGGCCCCGCCCCTCACGCAGGCCCCTCCCCTCACGCAGGCCACTCCCCCTCACGCAGGCCCCGCCCCTCACGCAGACCACGCCCCTCAAACAGACCCCGCCCCCACAGGCAGACCACGCCCCCTCGCGCAGGCCCTGCCCACTCACGCAGGCCCCGCCCCTCACGCAGGCCCCTCCCCTCACGCAGGCCACTCCCCCTCGCGCAGGCCCTGCCCACTCACGCAGGCCCCGCAAATCACGCAGATCACGCCCCTTCACGGAGGCCCCGCCCCTCACACAGACCACGCCCCCTCACGCAGGCCCCTCCCCTCACGCAGACCACGCCCCCTCACGCAATCCCTGCACCTGATGCAGACCACGTCCCCTCACGCAGAACCCGCCCCTCACGCAGACCACGCCCCCTCATGCAGGCCCTGGCCACTCATGCAGGCGATGTCCCCCCATGCAGACCACGCCCCCTCGCGCAGGCCCTGCCCACTCACGCAGGCCCCGCCCCTCACGCAGGCCCCTCCCCTCACGCAGGCCACTCCCCCTCACGCAGGCCCCGCCCCTCACGCAGACCACGCCCCTCAAACAGACCCCGCCCCCACAGGCAGACCACGCCCCCTCACGCAGGCCCCGCCCCTGGGGAATCATGGGAGATGTAGTAGTTGTGTGGAGCAGCCGGCCAGCAGGGGGAAACTTGGGGGATATATGGCCCCGCCCCGTCACGCAGGCCACTCCCCCTCACGCAGACCACGCCCCCTCACTCAGTCCACGCCCCCACACGCAGACCACGCCCCCTCGCGCAGGCCCTGCCCACTCACGCAGGCCCCGCCTCCTCACGCAGGCCCCTCCTCTCACGCAGACCACGCCCACTCACGCAGGCCCCGCCCCTCACGCAGACCACGCCCCCTCACGCAGGAGACGCCCCCACACGCAGACCACTCCCCTCGTGCAGGCCACGCCCCCACACGCAGGCCCCGCCCCTCACGCAGGCCAGGCCATGGGGGAATCATGGGAGATGTAGTAGTTGTGTGGAGCGGCTGGCCAGCAGGGGGAAACTTGGTCCATATATGGCCCCGCCCCTCACGCAGACCACTCCCCCTCACGCAGACCACGCCCCCACACGCAGGCCACGCCCCCAACGCAGACCACACCCTCTCACGCAGGTCCCGTCCCTCACGCAGACCACGCCCCCTCACGCAGGCCCCGCCCCGCACTCAGACCCCGCCCCCTCGCACAGACCCTGCCCACTCACGCAGACCCCGACCACTCACGCAGGCCCCGCCCCTCACGCAAACGAAGTCCCATCATGCAGGCCCGCCCAGCACGCAGACCACGCCCCCTCACGCAGGCCACGCCCCCAATGCAGACCACGCTCCTCACGCACACCACGCCCCCACACGCAGAACACGCCCCCTCGCGCAGGCCCCGCCCACTCACGCAGGCCCCGCCCCTCTTGCAGACCACGCCCCCTCACGCAGGCCCTGCCCCCTCACGCAGACCACGCCCACTCACGCATGCCCCACCCCTCGCGCAGACCACGCCCCTCACGCAGACCACGCCCCCTCACGCAGGCCCCACCCCGGGGGAATCATGGGAGATGTAGTACTTGTGTGGAGCGGCTGGTTGGCAGGCCGAAACTTCGGGGATATATGGCCTCGCCCCCTCACGCACGCCACTCCCCCTCACACAGACCACGCCCCATCACGCTGGCCACGCCCCCAAACGTAGACCACGCCCCCTCGCGCGGGCCCTGCCGACTCACGCAGGCCCCGCCCATCACGCAGGCCCCTCCCCTCACGCAGGCCACTCCCCCTCACGCAGGCCCCGCCCCTCACGCAGACCACGCCCCTCAAACAGACCCCGCCCCCACAGGCAGACCACGCCCCCTCGCGCAGGCCCTGCCCACTCACGCAGGTCCCGCAAATCACGCAGATCACGCCCCTTCACGGAGGCCCCGCCCCTCACACAGACCACGCCCCCTCACGCAGGCCCCTCCCCTCACGCAGACCACGCCCCCTCACGCAATCCCTGCACCTGATGCAGACCACGTCCCCTCACGCAGAACCCGCCCCTCACGCAGACCACGCCCCCTCATGCAGGCCCTGGCCACTCATGCAGGCGATGTCCCCCCATGCAGACCACGCCCCCTCGCGCAGGCCCTGCCCACTCACGCAGGCCCCGCCCCTCACGCAGGCCCTGCCCCCTCAGCAGGCCCCGCCCCTCACGCAGACCACGCCCCCTCACGCAGACCACGCCCCCTCACGCAGGCCCCGCCCGGGGGAATCATGCAAGATGTAGTACTTCTGTGGAGGGGCTGGTCGGCAGGCCGTAATTTCGGGGATATATGGCCCCGCCCCCTCACGCAGGCCACTCCCCCTCACGCAGGCCACGCCCCAACACACACACCACGCCCCCTCGCGCAGGCCCTGCTCACTCACGCAGGCCCCGCCCACTCACGCAGGCCCCGCCCATCACGCAGACCACGCCCCTTAATGGAGGCCCCGCCCCTCACGCAGACCACGCCCCCTCACGCAGACCACGCCCCCTCACGCAGGCCCCGCCCGGGGAATCATGGGAGATGTCCTACTTGTGAGGAGCTGCTGGCCAGCAGGGGGAACTTTGGGGATTTAGGGCCCCGCCCCCTCACGCAGGCCACTCCCCGTCTCGCAGACCACGCCCCCACACGCAGGTCACACCCCCACATGCAGACCACGCCCCCTCGCGCAGGCAACGCCCCCACACGCAGACCACACTCCCTCACGCAGTCCACGCCCCCACTCGCAGACCACGCCCCCTCGCGCAGGCCACGCCCCCACACGCAGACCACGCCCCCTCGCGCGGGCCCTGCAGACTCACGCAGGCCCTGGCACCTCACGCAGGCCCCTCCTTTCACGCAGACCACGCCCACTCACGCATGCCCCGCCCCTCACGCAGACCACGCCCACTCACGCAGGCCCCGCCCCGGAGATCATGGGAGATGTAGTTCTTTTGTGGAGCAGCCGGCCAGCAGGCCGAAACTTCGGGGATAGATGGCCCCGCCCCTTCAGGCAGGCCCGGGCCCTCGCGCAGACCACGCCCCCTCACGCAGACCACGCCCCTTCACGCATGTCCCGCCCCTCGCGTAGACCACGCCCCCTCACGCAGGCCCTGCCCCGGGGAATCATGGGAGATGTAGTAGTTTTGTGGAGTGGCCGGCCGGCAGGCCGAAACTTCGGGGATAGATGGCCCCGCCCCCTCACGCAGACCACGCCCCCTCACGCAGGCCACGCCCCCTCGCGCAGGCCCTGCCCACTCACGCAGGCCCCGCAAATCACGCAGATCACGCCCCTTCACGGAGGCCCCGCCCCTCACACAGACCACGCCCCCTCACGCAGGCCCCTCCCCTCACGCAGACCACGCCCCCTCACGCAATCCCTGCACCTGACGCAGACCACGTCCCCTCACGCAGAACCCGCCCCTCACGCAGACCACGCCCCCTCATGCAGGCCCTGGCCACTCATGCAGGCGATGTCCCCCCATGCAGACCACGCCCCCTCGCGCAGGCCCTGCCCACTCACGCAGGCCCCGCCCCTCACGCAGGCCCCTCCCCTCATGCAGGCCACTCCCCCTCACGCAGCAAGGCTAAAACTGAAGGGTTTTAGAAGATACCTCATGAGTTCTGTCATTTTAGGAATTGGTCTTTAATGAGTAATGGTTTCTTTCACATAGAACATGTCTTAAACCAAAAGGAAGCGCCTGCTACAAATTCCAGTCGCCTTTCGGAGGACGGAGCCACATCCCTGGGAGTAGGAGAAGGGCAGGCGTCTCAGCCACAGCATGATGTGCCGTATTTCAGGTTCGTCTGCTACTGCTGTGAGAATCCGCATTCGTGTCTTGACTTCAAACCCCAAATGAAGGTGTTCCATTTTATACATGAACAATTTACTGTGGTCGGTGAAGAGGAACTGGCTTTGGTGCGATTTTTACCTTGCAGTTTGTGCTCTTCTTTCCTTACTTCTAGGGCGTAGTCAGGGTTCTGTTGTAAGGGGAGGTGTGAGAGAAGTGGCCGTCCCAGCCCAGAGTCTGGCCCTTCCATGCAGTTGTTAATGTTGTTGTGAATGTTTTGAGAGGTAAATAATGAAAGTGTAAAAGTCTTGTATGGTACATCGTTTTGTTTTCATGTAGTGGTGAATGTTGATGACTTTGGTTTTAGCACCTGAAGCGCTCTCTCGTATGTGGGTGCACACTCGATTGTCTGCTCTGTCACACTTTACTTAGTGGACACAGCTGGTGGCTCTAACAGGCTGCAGCTGCTCACTCTTGAAGCCCAGGCTGAAGAGAGGAAGCATCTTCTGCACGGGACGAGAGTCCGTTGGTAATGCACCTCGTAGCACCCGGGAAAGTTTGATCTCCAAACCAAACAAACTGGCCAGGAGGATCTGAAGTTCAAGATCGTCCTTGGCTACATAACCCTTGCAAGAACTGCCTGGGATAGATGAGAGCTTGTCTTCTTGTTATTGTTATTAACCTTTGAGAATTCCATTCGATGTGTTTTCATCAAATTCACCTTCAGCATCCTTTAACTCTTTCCTGGTCCACACTGCCTCCGAGCCACCATCAGGTCTTTTTTTTCTTTTCTTTTTTTTAATAACCAATGGACTGCTGCTGTTTGGTTGGTTGGTTTGTGATATGTATGGGTGTCATGATTACATGTATGCTGTGTACTGTGTGTGTGCCTGGTGCTTGGAGAGGCCAGAAGAGGCCTTTGGGTCCCTGGAACTGGAGTTAGAGACAGTTTTGAGCCAGTGAGTTTTTTATTTTTTATTTTTTGTATCTTTGTGACTGGTTTATTTTACTTAGTGTAGTATCCTTAAGATTGATCTGTAGTGTTAGAATTTCTTTCCTTTCTCAGTGTGTAGTCCTAACTGGCATGGGCCTCACTTTGTAGACCAGACAGACCTCCAACCCATGGGCATCTGTGCCTAGCAAGTGCTGAGACTACAGACATAAGCCCTGTGCCCAGTTTTCGTTTCTCAAGGTTGAACAGGATGGGGATGCGGTGTCTGGAAAGGTAGCTCAGCCTTTAAGGGTATTTTGCTGATGTTTCGGGAGAGTTTGGTTTCCAGCATCCACATGGCAGCCCACAACCAGCTGTCATTCAGCTCCAGGGAATCCAGTACTCTCTTCTGCCCTCCAAGGGCACTGTACACACGTGGTGCACTTGCATATACTCATACACTTTGTAAATAAATCTTTTTTTAAATTTTTATTTATTTATATTTTATGTAACAGTGCTCCGCATGTATGCCTGCATGCCAGTAGAGGGCGCCAGATCTCATTGGTTGTGAGCCACCACCAAATTAAACTCAGGAACAACCAGTGCTCTTAACTGCTGAGCCATCTCTCCAGCCCAAAAATAAATCTTAAGTGTACTCCGTACTCACATTTTGCTTCTCCATATATCTGTCATCTACATTTCTGTTGTATGTTTTGTTTTGTTTTCGTTTGTGACGGAATCATGTTATAGTCTCCTGACTACCCTACACTCACCATATGAGCCCAGAACTCTCTGTAGCAGCCTCCAGTCTAGATTGATCCTCCTGTCTCTGACTCTGGTGCTGCCACACTCAGCTGTAGTGACATTTGGCTTGCTTCCATTTTAGTGATTAGGACCGCTCTGGACATGAGTGTGCAAGCATGCCTTGGGGACCTGCTTTCAGTTCTTTGATATGCACGTAGCTGTGGAATCTCTCTGCACTCTGGGGTGCCTGTGTTAGAACAGACTGAACTCCTACTAGCCCTAGATCTCTCACATTTTGGATTATGGACTTCTTGTTTGGGGTCTATTCTGTTCTTGTTGAGTGTTTAGAGCATCCCTAACCTATAGTGATAATCAAAACTCTCCAGCCAGGCTCAGTTTTTCACACCTTTATTCCCAGCAGAGGGAGGTAGAAGGGAGGAGGATCTGAGTTCAAGGCCAGCCAGGGCTCTATAGATACACCTTGTCTTAAGAAAAGTCTCTGGGCATCATCAAATGTTCTCTGGGGAGCAAGATTAACTCAAATAAATATTATCTAGGACTGGAGAGATGGCTCAGAGGATAAGAGCACTGACTGCTCTTCCAGAGGCCCTGAGTTCAATTCCCAGCAACTGTGGTGGCTCACAACCAACCACCTATAATGAGATCTGGGGCCCTCTTCTGGCACGCAGGCAAAACACACAGGCAGAACACTACTATATATATAATAAATAAATCTTTTTCAAAAAAGAGAGAGGAATAAACTATCTAATAGACTTTGTAGGACCCTGTTACCTTGTGGAGAGGGTTTGTTCAATTCTGTCCTTGTTTTTGGTTGTAGCCTCGCCTGGCTGGAACTCAGGTGTGGGCCATGCTGGCCTCACTTGCCCTGCTCCTCCTGCTTCTGCCTCCTGGCACTAGACTGCAGCTGTGCCGTGCTGTGCCTCAGGGAAGGCTCTGACTTTAGTCATAGATTTTGCTGGCTTTATCTTCAGGTCATTTTTGACAGCCCTTAGTGTCATTCTTTTTTAAAAATGCTCCAAGATCCCCGCGGCAGTAGGCAGCAGAAATGCTGTAAGTCCCAAATGGTGGCAGCGGGCCATGTGGTGGCAGGCAGCGGGCCCTGGGAGCAGCCAGTCCCAGGCAGAAATGGCTGCCGGTCCCAGAGCAGCAGCCCGAGCGGTGGTGGTGGCGGGCCATGTGGTGGCAGACAGCGGGCCCCAGGCAGAGACGGCTGCTGGTCCCTGAGCAATGGCTGGTTCCAGGCAGGGAGATACATGGCGGGCGGGCAGAAGACAGAAACATGGATAGACACGACATGCAGGGTGAGGTTGAATGTTTATTCAGGGAGTTATGGAGGAGGAAGGGTGAAGGGGGGGACAGAGAGAGAGGGAGGGAGGGAGGGAGAGAGAGAAAGAGAGAGAGAGAGAGAGAGAGAGAGAAGAAGAGAAAGAGGAGAAAGAGACAGAGAAGGGGGGAAGAGAGAAGTGGGGAGAGAGGCAGAAGCGAAGCTGCCTCTCTGAGAGGAAGATGGAAAAGAGAGCGAGCTCAGGCTGGAAGCTGAAGATCAGCCTGCCTCAGCGGATGGGGAGGGGAATGGGTGTGGCTTGTCTCTTAAAGCGACAGGAAAGCACAACATTCCCAGGTCTTCCTTATAATAAAAAGCACGCACATCAAGGAAGCAGAAAAGGAAGGGCCCAAGATGGGGGCGGGCAGGTCAGAGGTAATGAAAGTGGGCATGGCTTGTCCCTTAAAGCAACAGGAAAGCACAACATTCCCAGGTCTTCCTTATAATAAAAAGCAGGAGACCAGGCACCACAGCCCAAAGGAACTGGGGCGGCGAACTCTCAAGACTGCTTCCGGCTGATTATGGGCGTCGTCTTTGGGGAGGGCACGAGAGAAGGCTGGGTGCTGGTCATATCCTGGCATAGCTGGTCTCTTTGCTTCTGACCGATGTCTGTGGCATGGGAATGTCTGGTGTCCGTAAGGTATTGGCAGAACAAAGAATTGAGGGGGATGTATCTGACCTGTTTAAGGTGGATTCTTTAATTCGGCTCCCTGGAACTCACGAGAACTCCTTGGCTTTTCGAAAACAGAAGTTTTAGACATATACCCTCAATTCCCTGGTTCTGAGCTCGCTCTCTTTTCCATCTTCCTCTCGGAGAGGCAGCTTCGCTTCTGCCTCCCCACTTCTCTGCTTCCCCCCTTCTCTGTCTCTTTCTCCTCTTCTCTCTCTCTCTCTCTCTCTCTCTTTCTCTCTCTCCCTGTCCTCCTCTTCACCCTTCCTCCTCCATAACTCCCTGAATAAACATTCAACCTCACCCTGCATGTCGTGTCTATCCATGTTTCTGTCTTCTGCCCGCCCACCATGTGTCTCCCCGCCTGGAACCAGCCATTGCTCGGGGACTAGCAGCCGTCTCTGCCTGGGGCCCACTGCCTGCTGCCACATGGCCCGCCACCACCACCGCTCGGGCTGCCACTCTGGGACCCGCAGCCATTTCTGCCTGGGACTGGCTGCTCCCAGAGCCCGCTGCCTGCCACCACATGGCCCACTATCACCATTTGGGACCTACAGCATTTCTGCTGCCTACTGCCACAGGGGATCTTGCAGCATTTTTTAAAAAAAGAACAACACTTAGTTCTATGACGAGTGTCTGAGTGCATATTACTCACCAAGGGATGTTGAACTCAGCCTCTGAATGAGGAACCGAACAAATCAGAAATGGTAGCTTGAAAAAGGGAGAAGTATGTCTTGGCATCATCCATCCCATGTAAATTTCACTATAGAAGAATGGGCATACATGAGTTATGTGATGATAGGAAATTTGTCTTTTGTGAATTTTATTATATAGTTCGTTAAATCCTTGCACATAAAATCTTCAAAATGACTGTTTTGCCTTTTTTATGTACTATTTTGTACCTTTGTTTTAAACCCTCCTGTCCTGTGTATTAAAGTGTCCTAATGGTAAGACTGAACTAAGGTGGCCACACTTGTATGACTAAAGTGGATGTCACAATTCCAGAACAATCCTCCAGTCAGAAACTGACAGATTGACCTCGCACTGCCTGGAGTGGGACAGGAAGCTGGACCTGGACATTCCTGATGATGGTGAGATGAAGACGTTCTCTTGTTGTTAGCATTGTATCGTGTATCTTAGAAAGGCTCTCCTAGCATAAGCTGGCCTAGCGCTCAGTCTGTAGTTGAAGGTGACCTTGAACCCTGGTCATCTTGTCCACTTCAAGGGCCACAATAAAAATGTTTACGTTATGTATTAGGTTTTCTTTTATTGTAGTAGTAAGAGTAGTCGTAGAAGATCTAACTCAGGATTTGTTTTGTGCTCAGCACATGCTTGGCTAGCAAACTATATCCATAACCCTTATTTTTTTTAATGTTGCATTCCTTTTGAAGTTAAAACTCTAGTGTCCAACTTTCAGTTTCAGTATTGCTCAAAATGCCAAGAGTTGCTCAACATATATCCTCTAATATCTCTGTGCTAAAGAAGTGTACAACTTTTGTGTATTTTGGTGTTTTAATGTGACTTTGTATATATTGGTGTTAATCTGGTATTCCTTGGTTATATAAATATGTGTTCTGATTTATAATTATGTAAATCAGTATGAACAGATTAGTCCTATTTATTTGGAGAAACTATTTAAAAAGCTAGCAGTATGAGGTCCTGGATACTTACGTACCTTGACTTGTTAGGTTGAAATCTCATAAAATACAGGAGAAAGGGAATGGTTCCTGAGAAGCCATGTGTGATTGAGGGTGAACACTGCTAATTGTTTCTGGTGCTTGAAGCAAGGAGCTTGTGTCCAGCATTTGTGACAAAGCTTGGGGATGGTTCTTCTTTGTTTTTCTATATTAGTTTAATTGTGTAAGCTCTGGGGATTAGGGGCTAAGTCTCAGTTGGCTGGCTCACTGAAAAGGCCCTATTTACTTTCTTCTTTAGCTAAAGATCTTATTCGTACAACAGTGGGTCAAACAAGACTCCTTATTATGGAAAGGTTCAAGCAGTTTGAAGGACTGATAGATAACTGTGAATATAAACGAGGTGAAAAGGAGACCACCTGTTCAGATCTGGATGGATTTTGGGATATGGTTAATTTTCAGGTATGTGTCAAGTGTTTTCGACATTTGCTTCAAAATGGATGTAATAAGTGAGCTATTGGAATGTACCATGTAAGTTGCACTGTCTCTTCCCCATGTTGTCAAATAGTTTGTGGTAATTGTACGTGGGAGGCGTGAGCCAGTGCAGTTACTGAATTCTGTTGTGTGCCAGCCCGTGTTTATAGAAATGATGAGAAGGCAGGAAAAGAACTGGCCATGGTGGTACGCGCCTTTAATCCCACACAGAGGCAGGGAGGGCTGAGTTCAAGGCCAGCCTGGTCAACAGTGCCAGGGCCACCAGGGCACCACAGAGAAACCCTGAAACAGGCAGGAAGAGAAGTGAATGGTTTAGTAGCAGCTTTTAGATATGGTAAGACTTACGGAGGCCGTTAGTGTGTTTCCCAGCCACCCAGCAGCTCAGACCCGAAATAATCACACAGAAACTATACTATTTAAAACATTGTTTGGCCCATTAGCTCTAGCTTTTTATTGGCTAACACTTGCATCTTAATTTAACCCATTTTTAGTAATCTGTGTATTGTCACGTGGCTGTGGCTTACCAGGTAAAGTTTCCAGCGTCTGTCTCCAGCAGGGCTACATGGCTTCTCCTTCACTCCTTTTTTTCTCCCAGCATTCTGTTTAGTTTTCCCTGCCTATCTACCCTATCAGGCCAAACCAGTTTATTAACCAGTGGTGTTCACAACATACAGAGGGGAATCCCACATCACATTGTCATGCAAAGCTGAGCCTCTTAAATATGTATGGCGTTGTAATGGGAAGCTGAGCCTCTTAGATACAGTATGACTTAATGGAAAGCTGAGGCTCTTAGATACAGTATGACGTAATGGAAAGCTGAGGCTCTTAGATACAGTATGACGTAATGGGAAGCTGAGGCTCTTAGATACAGTATGACATAATGGAAAGCTGAGGCTCTTAGATACAGTATGATGTAATGGAAAGCTGAGGCTCTTAGATACAGTATGACGTAACGGGAAGCTGAGCCTTTTAGATACAGTTAGACATTATAATGTAAAGCAGAGTATTGATGGAGGTCTAGGAGGGTATGTCTGGAGGAAGGACATTTCCTACCTTGCTGAGTTTATATTTCAGAAATATATGAGGCACTGAAGAGATGGACCGGCAGTTAGAGCACTTGCTCTTCTTGCACAGGACTAGGATTCTTTTTTCAGCACCTACATTAGGCAGCTTATAACTGCCTATAACTCTGGTTTCAAGGAATCTGACTCCCTTGTATGGCCACCCATACTCAACATGGGTCAGGCAAACAGATATAATATACACATGAAATAAAATCAATCCCTTTTTTGTTTGTTTTTGGTTGTTGAGGCAGAGTTTCTCTTGTGTGATATCTCTGGCTGTCCTGGCACTCGCTCTGTATCAGGCTGGCCTCGAACTCACACAGATCCATCTAACTCTGCCTCCCAAGTGCTGGGATTAAAGGTGTGTGCCACCACTGCCTGGCTAAATAAAATAAAATCCATCTTAAAGGAAGGAAAAAGAAGCAAGCAGATGAGCAGTGTATGGTGGAATACACCTTTAATTGAAGGCGTAAGTCACAAACAATGCCACACCAATTCGGGGTTATGATTATTAGGGTGGTATTTATTTAAAGGGGAAAAAACTTACAGATCACTGTCCCAGGCAACAGCCCTCTTCGCAACCAGGAAAGGAGTCTAGTCGCAGGCGGAGCAGGAAGTGAGGAGCAGGAAGTGAAGAGAGAGCGAAGAGGGAAGTGGCCGCTTTTTTAAAGGGAGAGAAACCACGCCCCAGTGGGCTGGTACCTCAGCGGTGATAGGCTGGAGGAGTGGGAGGACCTCCCGCAACATTTAATCTCATCACTCTAAATAATTCACATTCAGAATTATAAAATATATATAACTTCTTAAAAGGAATCTGGGAGAGTTGTTAATATATAACTTCCTTTCTGTAGGTTTTAGAGATTTCTAGACCAAAACTACCAATGAACAATTTTAACATAAAAATTCTTGATTTGAACACTCAATTTACAGTGACTTAAGCTGAATAACCCCAGTGTTTAGGAGGTAGAGGCAGGAGGATAGGGAGTTCAAGTATATCCTGAACTGTGCAGCAAAGTGTGGGTCATCCTGGATTGATTTAAGACCCTGTCGCTCAACCACGGTCTCTCTCCCTCTCTCTCTCTCTTTCTCTCTCTCTCTCTCTCTCTCTCTCTCTCTCTCCCTCCCTCCCTCCCCCCTCTCTCTCTCTCTCTCTCTCTCTCTCACACACACACACACACACACACACACACAGTCTCTCTCTCATACACATGCACACTCATACACAGTCTCTCTCTGTCTCTCTTTTTTGATTTTTCAAGACAGGGTTTCTCTAGCTTCGGAGCCTGTCCTGGAACTATCTCTTTTAGACCAGGCTGGCCTGGAACTCAGAGATCCTCCTGCCTCTGCCTCCCGAGTGCTGGGATTAAAGGCTTGTGCCACCACACACACACACACACACACACACACACACACACACACACACACAGAGGATTTTAAGTTTAATGACGATCCAGTTCTGGGCACCATTTTCAGTTTATTTAGCATTTAGTAATTTTATAGTCATAATGTAGCAATTTTAACATAGCGTTAATGGGATGAACTTGGGCTTTTTATTAACAGGTCGAGGATGTAAACCAAAAGTTCAACAACCTGGTCAAACTTGAGGAAGCTGGATGGAAAAACAATAATAATCCAAGCAAAAAAGTCCTCCGGGTAGGTTTGTGCATTTTCTATCCAAATTTCTAGCATAGATGCTTCTCTAATTTTGTTTTTGTTTTGTTTTGTTTTTGTTTTGTTTTTTAGATTCTTTCTTTTTTTTTAAATTTATTTATTATGTATATAGTGTTCTGGGCACCAGATCTCATTACAGATGGTTGTGAGCCACCATGTGGTTGCTGGGAATTGAACTCTGGACCTCCGGAACAACAGTTTTCTTAACCTCTGAGCCATCTCTCCAGCCCCCTCTAATTTTCTTTTTAAAAATACATTCAATCATGTGGAGCGGGGTGGCCTAGTTGTGCCACAGAGCACACGTGGAGGTTAAGGACAGCTTGGAAACATTGATTCTTTACTTCTACCATGTCAGTTTTGAAAATATTTAGCTTTGGGCTTTCTGTATCACAAGCTATGTTTTCTATAATGCTTATTACATTCTGATTGCCTTTGGGGGAAAGCAAGGGTACAATCAACATGAAGTAAGATGTTTGCTTCTAAAGAGAAACGAGATGTGTGATTGCATTGGGTTACCTAGGTGACTTTTCTATTCCTAGACAGTGGGTAGATGAGCACGGGCGTGGGTTTGCTCAGAAGCTGCACCCGCGCGGGCACACTGTGATGGCAGCTCTCGGGAGGCTGAGGCAGAATGATTGCCTTGACTCCAAGGCCACCATGGGCTGTGTGTACGTAGCAAGTTTCAGGACAGGCAGGACTACATAGCAAGACTGTGTCTTACAAAACTGAACAGACCTCCTATGTTTATGTATTTCTTTTAATTGCAAAACTATAAATAATCCATGTTTTGTAAATTCCAAGTGGTTCCATTAAGCTTCATAGCAGTCCATTTAGAGGGTGCTGTATCCTCAGTTTACGGCTGAGAAATTCAAGACTCTGAAAGAGTAAATCATTTGCCCAAGGTAGTGTTGGGTCACTCCAGGCTTTGGTGTTCCCAATTCATGCTTTCATTGGGCAGACCACACCTCCTCACTGTCTACATGCTTTTGTGTGACAGACTGTAGACTGATAAGATTTTATGTATTTCTTCATTATGCTAATAAGGTTTTCTACTTTTCCTGTAAAACATGCTTTGTTAATCTAATAAGAGTCCAGTTAGCGGGTTAAGAGCACGTGCTGCTCTTTCTTGCACACACATAGGGTAGCTCACGATGGCCTATAATTCCAGCTCCAGGGGGCTCTGGGGACAGCTGCACCCATATGCACAGTCTCACACAGACACACACATGTACACATACTTTAAGGTCTTTTCTAAGTGCATTTTTCTTGTGCTTCTTATGGACATTTGTCGTACTTGTCAGTTTTCTTCATGCTGTTGGAAGGACTCTATAAACTTGGGTTGATACTTTATAGTTTGTTATGCAAACAAAACTTCTGAATTCTGTCTTAGCAGCACATGTTAAAGAATTAAAAGAAACTTTAATATTTCCTTGCAATGAAGTCTCACTGCAAGGATTGAGGGAATGAGTAGATGGCTGGAAATTTGTAAATCTACATAATAAAGGAGAATATTTATTAAAGGTCCTAGTATAACGATAAATGTTTTTTGAGATGGGTTTCACTATATATCCCAGTCTGAACTCAAGCATGGAATTCTCCTGTCTCAGCTTCCAAGATGCTGGGATTATAGACTTGCACTGCTGCTCCTGACAGCCTGTGGGTATTTCTTATTGAATGTTTAGATCTGAAAATACTATATCACATAAGAGGTGCAATTCTGCCTCTGATCACCAGATGTCTCTCTCTGTCTACTTTGTTTTCGGCTACAGTTTGGTTGGCTGGGGAGACCTTTATATTCCTGGGACCATCTCCTGGCAGTATATAGCCTATGCAAGTGCCTTATGTCTGCGCTATACACCAAGCCCTGTTAGTCAAATAAAACTAATCTTTTACCTGTACTGTGATGACACACCTTTCACTCTTACGCATTTCCCTTCCAGTTTGTCTGTTCCTCCCTCTTTAAATGTGTTCAAGGTCTAACCTTGATTACACTGAAACCAAGCAGCTTACCTGGTGAATCACCTTATTGTGGGTCCCACCCCCTTCTCAGCTCTTGTCAGTCACAGAGTTTCCTGAAAAGCATGCATGCTGTTTGTTCACAGATTTCTCTCCGGCTGCGTGGTTTACCACTCTCTGCCTTCAGAGAAGTTATCAAGAGTTTTTAGCCCATTAGTGGCTAAAGTTATTAGATGCATGGCTTATACAATTTAACCTTCTTTGTTACTGTCTACATCCTCTTTCTTAAATTGTAAGTTTATTTACCGCTGTCCACTCTGCGTGTGTTTACATATGTGGGTTCTCAGTCAGAAGCAGGTGTGGTGTCCTGGAGCTAGAGTTACAGACGCTAATAGCAGCCCCGAGTTGGTGCTGGGACCCAGACTCAGTCCTCTGAAATAGTCGTGAGCTCTCCTCCATGCTGTGCCATCTCTCCAGCCCCATTCCTGTGCCTCTTAACCTGCTCTGGGTCTCCCAAATCTGTTTTGGTCAAGCTCAAATTCTGCACATCATTGTCTCCGTATCTTTAGTAAACCATTCCCGGGAACTGTTTTCTTGTCTCAGAAGAATGGCATTTCCGTGCCACTGGGTGTCTGTCCTGTAGCTCTGGGTTTTACTGAAACCCACACTGGGTAATCCTCTTCCTTTAGGATTAGAGAGAGAGGGAACTGGGTGTGGGCTTATGAAACCTCAAAACCCCCCACCCCCAGTGAACAGCTCCTCCAACAAAGTCACCCCAACTAATATCTCCTAATTCTGCCCATATAGCTCCACTAACTGGGGACCCACCATTCAAACGTATAAGCTGATGGTTTTCATTTTTATTCAGACCACCACACCACACAAGGTGATACTGGTTGGTGTGGTGGTGCCAGTCTTTAATCTCAGCTGGTCCTGAGGGTGGAGTGGGTGTGCACTCAAGACCAGCTGGCACAACTTAGTGAGACCCTGTCTCAAGATAAGTTATAAGAACTAATGACTTATGTCAGTGGTAGCAAGATTTCCTGCTGTGTACAGGGCTCTGGGTTCTTTCCTCAGTACCAACGGAACAGAAGAGGATGGTAATGTTCAAGGAGGGTGTCTTAGGTAGGGTTCTCTTGCTGTGAAGGGACACCATGACCATGGCAACTCTTATAAGGGAAAAACATTTAGTTGGGGTGGCTTACATTTTCAGAGGTTTAGTCCATCATGGTGAGGCATGGTGGCGATCAGACAGGCATGGTGCTGGTGAAGGAGCTCAGAGACACCGGGTATGGCTTGAGCATTTAAGACCTCAAAGCATACCCCGACAATGACACATTTCCTCTACAAAGACCATACGCACTCCAACAAAGCCACACCTCCTAATAGCCAGTCCCTGTGAGATTATGGGGTCAGTTACATCCAACCACAGATGGTATCAGCCCTCACCAAAGGAAGAGGAAAGGGGTGGAAATGTCACCTTTAATTAATTTGTGTTATTTCCCCTGCAGAAAAAGATTGCGCCTGGTGGAACAAACAGAACAAAGCAGGATGATGCAGGAAGACTGGCTGCTAGAAACCGCCTCGCTGCCATAAAGAACGCGATGAAAGCGAGGCTGAAGCAGGAAGAGCATGCGCCAGTGGCAGCCGTGGAGACACCAAAGGAAGTCGACAAAATAGTGTTTGATGCTGGGTTTTTCAGAATTGAGAGTCCTGTTAAATCGTTTTCAGGTTTGTGTTTTTGCAGAAACTTAAGAGAAATATTTGGGCCAAATGAGGGTTTGTGTAGAGGCTAAAATCATTTTCCCGTGAACATATGAAGGTGCCCCGATTCCTAGAAAACAGGCCGTGCTAGCAAGCCGCACGCAAACCACACTCTGCGAGGGGTGGGCGGATAGGCTTGTGCATGATCCGTCTTTTAAGGTCAGGCTTGTGTTTCCAAGGATTCCATAGCTGCTACTGGCATGTAGTCCCAGTCTGTAAGGTTCCATGACAAGTGAGATTAGAACTAAGATGCAAGAGGAACTGGACCTGCTCTTTACCCTCCTCAGCTGTGCAGCTGACTGCAGCCTCTGCACAGGAGGGACGGGAGGGAGCTGAGCAACTGTGGAAACCTGTACATCACTGCATCTTTTGAGTCTCAGGATCAGACTGAGCTTTGCACGCATACACTAGGCAAGCGCTTGTCCATTGAGCAATGGCCTCCCTTTTTGAAATTCTCTCTTTTGAGACGAGGTCTGGTTACGTTTCCCAGCTATCCTTGACCTCATGCAGGCCTGGATCTTACTCCAATCCTCCTGCCGTAGCCTCTGGGGAGGCTGGGGCGTCAGGGAGCAGCAGCTCCCACTTCACATCACTTTATTCAAACGTTTCTCTGCGTGCTGCTTGCCCACTCTCTCACGTCCTGCTAGGACTATATGATTCTGGCACCCACCACCTAAGTGCCGTGCAGAGGAGATCTGAGTGTCTCAACAGTTTATTTGTCAATATCCGTTTGTTTCCATGGACTAGCCCAGTTTTTGGCTGTATCTGGTAACTACAGCAGGATACAACCCATGTCTCAACTTTTCCAGGAAATACTTTGCTGTACAAGAAACAGCAAAGGAATTTATTGTAACTGAGGTTTTGGTGTTTTTGTTTGCTTGTTTATTTTGGCTTTTAAGACAGGGTTTCTCTGTATAGCCTTGGGTGTCCTAAAACTCTTCGGCTGTAGATCAGGCTGGCCTCGAATTTGCTGAGATCCATCTGCCTCTGCCTCCAAGTACTGGGATTAAAGGCGTGTACTACTATGCCTGCCAGGTTGAGATTCTTGACCCAAGTGTTCATTTGTTAGACATTGGTAAGAAGTAGCTCACTTGCTGATTTCATTATACCTTTTAAAATATTTTTTAGTGTGTGCGTGTGTGTTTAAAATTTATTTCTTATGTATACACACACCAGATATCATTATAGATGGTTGTGAGCCACTATGTGAGGAATTACACGCAGAACCTCTAGAAGAGCAGCCAGTGCTCTTAACCTCTGAGCCATCTCTCCAAGCCCTTCTAAAATATTCTTAATATAGTCTCTAATTGTCAGAGACGGACCTATTTTTTATTTTTTAAGTTTTAGTGTTTTGTGTATATGGATATTTTGCCTGCACATTTATCTACACCATGTGTGTCCCTGCTGCCTGCAGAAGCCAGACGAAGGCGCCAGATCCCCAGGATCTGGAGTTATAGCTGCTGTGAAGCCCCAGGAAGAGCTGGGAATCAAACCTGGACCCTCCAGAAGAGCAGCCAGTCTACTTAACTGCTGAGTCACCCTCCAGCCACAGAGTTGAAAGAACAATGCTGTAACATAGGCATGGGATATCAGAGGGAAGCGTTGTCTGATGTGACAATTCTCTTCTTCAAAGAAAGCCCCTGGCACCTGACTAACAAATGTTGACAAGAGGAGGCCTAGTTAGCAGGATTTGCATTGCCTTTCTGAACAAAAAATGAAAGAAAGGATTTTTGCTATGGAGGTTATTTTGTCTTTTCTAGCACTTTCTTCTGAGCGTCGTTCTCAGAGATTTGGAGCAGTCATACCTGCCAGCAGAGTCATGCCTGAGAGCCGGGCTGCAGGGGACCTTCAGAGACAAAGGAGATCGCTGGAGAATCCTGACCCTCAGAGCAGCACGCGTGAAGGGGTCAATAAGACATTGTTTTCAGACACCCTTGAAAGCAGGTATTTTTCTTTAATGTACATTACACGTTTAATGATACTGATATTAACTTATCATTTCACATGGTCAGGCTGGTAAAATGTGACAGACATGTTTCCAATTAAATTTTGCATATGACCTGAAATATGTAGGCAAGATTTGCTCTTTTCTAACTGAGGAGACAGGCTTAAGGTTTCCAGTTGGAAGCAAGTGCGGTGGAGGTGACCCTGGCCACCCAGGAGGCTGAGGTGAGGGGTGATTTCAGAGAGTCTGAGACCAGCCCCAGTGACGCTGATGTCTTCAACAAAAGAACACAGGTCGGTACCCTGGAGAGGAAGCAGTGTGGTGTCCTCCAGTGCTTAGCAGGCATGGCTGGCCTGTGAAACTGAGCCTCACTCCCCTCGGCTCCAGAGCAGGCGCACCCAGACACGCGCTGCTCCTGCGGTGCTTCAGAGGCACACACCTTTAGGCCGGCCTGTACAGGAAGTGCCCAGCGTGGGCAGACTAGCAATCACTAGGTTATTGACCGGTGTCCTCCCTTACAGCAGCCGTGTCAGGTGTTGAGTGAGGAAAGGTAAATGGCGTCCTAATGAAGTTCAACTGGGTCCATTCTGCTCATATACACTCTCCACAAATGCATTAAAATAAGCTAACTGTCCTTTTCAATGGTTCCTAATGCACAGGCGTCTGATAGAGGGAAGGGAGTTTGAACAAGTAGGAAATAAAATTGTAAAATAAGAATCTGGAGCCAGCAAGATGGCTCGGTGGGTAAAGGTGCTTGATTTGCAAGCTGCCTGGCCTGAGTTCAATCCCTACAAACAACAGAAAGGAGGAGGAGAGAGCTCCCTACCCCTATGGTCACTCTGACCTTCACACACACATAATGGGTTTTTTTTTTTTAATTTTCAGTTGCAAATGTCTTTCAAGACGGCATCTTAAAAATAAGCAACTTTGCAGGAAGTTGTTCTTTAAGATTCATTTTTATGCCAGGCGGTGGTGACACATGCTCTTAATCCCAGCACTCAGGAGTCAGAGGCAGACAGATCTCTGAGTTCTGAGTTCAAGGCCAGCCTGGTCTAAAGAGCAAGTTCCAAGACAGCCAGGGCTACACAGAGAAATGCTGTCTTGAAAATTAAAAAAAAAAAAAGATTCATTTTTATTTGTGTGTGTATGTGTTGTGTGTATACACGTGCATGCGTGCTGTGTGTGTGGGTACCCAGAGCTCAGAAGAGGATTTTAGGTTTGCTAGACCCTGAGTTACAAGCAGCTGTGAGCTGACCAACACAGGAGCCAAACTCCCATCCTCTGTAAAAACAGCAAACTCTTATCTCTCTAGAAGAGAATATTTTTAAAGCAAACTTTGAAAAGATTGAAATTAACATTATGTTTAGTCATGTTGAATGTGTAGATTCTTGCATACATGCTGTGGCATGGTGTGTGGATCAGAGGACAGCTTCTCGGGGATCAGTTTTCTCCTCCTAACATGTTCCAGGAGTTAACCTCAGGTCATCAGGCTTGGTGGCAGGGAACGGTCTTGTGGGTCCCCAAAGAGATTACGAAAGATAACTCTTCTTAGGTTTTTTGTTTGTTTATTTTTTATCAACGTACAAAAGAATGAGTTTTGTTATGCCATTCCCCTGGGCCAGGCTCTACCTCTGACCTCATTGTGCAAGCTAGCACCCTCTGTGAAGGGTGGACTCAAAGCCCACATGGAACGACTGTGATGTGCTTAGCGATTGGTGTCTAACCACTGTTTGTTCCAGGTCCAGCAGAGCAGACGACACTTGGTGTCCTGGAGAGCAAGAGTCAAGTGCCCTGGACCATGTAAGTCCTATTGCAAGGTGGCGGTAGGTAGCCAAGGGTGTTAGCTGTTTATACCAGACAGAAAGAAAGAGAAAATAACAAAACTTGCATTTGGCAGCCTAAGCGAATCATGCAAAGTCGCATCGTTCTCATTTGAATGGCCCGTGGGTTGCTGGAAACAGCTCTCTTTGTCTGCTTCAGACCACATCAAGACGGCTCTGGAGCCAGTGCACTCGAGCAAGGGCAGCAGTCTTTGGCCTCTTTTTAAATTGTTTTTTAATTTCTTTATGAATGAGTGTTTTGCCTACATATGTATATCTATGCATTGTGTGCATGTAGTGCCTGTGGGTTCAGAAGTGGGTGTCAGATCTCCTGGATGTGGAATTACAGAAGGTTGTGAGCTTCCATGTGGGTCCCGGGAGTCAACCCGGGGACCTTTGGGAGAGCAGCCAGCGCTATTAACCTTTGAGCCATCTCTGGCCCTGGCTTCTATTTTTTGAACCAAACTGGATGACGTATCTTTTTGTATCTGTGTGTTATGTCTGCCTTCTTTTACTAAATAGACCTAGCAGGTTTGAGCTGGAACCCTCTTGCCCCAGCATCCAGAGTAGCACTGTAGTCTGGTGCCCTCAGGCCCAGTGTGCTCTTATAATTTACTTTCTCTTTCTTCACAAAAAGTTTGCCAATCTTTGAGCTGATACAGGTGTTTGCTGAGAAGCTTGTCCTCGTTCCTGTTAGATCTTTGTGTTGTGGAACAAGACAGCAGAATTCATAGTGTTCTTTACTTTTTGTGGGTTTGTTGTTGTTGCTGTTGTGTGCAGACTGGGTTTCTCTGCGTAGCCCAGGCTGGCCTCGAACTCACAGAGGTCCATCTGCCTCCCAAAGTTCTTGGATTAAAGGAATACGTCACCACTTCCCGGCATTCTTTTTTTCCCCCAAATTTATTTGTTAATTTCATTTTGCATTCCATCTACAGTTCTCCCCCCGCCAACCTGACATTCTTTACACTTTTTTATTTTGGGGGTGTTGGTTTAAGACAGGGTTTCTCTGTCGCCCTGGCTCTCCTGGAACTCACTCTGCCTCTGCCTCCCGAGTGCTGGCACTAAAAGCATGCGCCACCACCACCTGGCTTCTGTTTTTCTTATATTTCATAGCAGTATGGCTTTTTTTAAAAATTTGTTCCATTTATGGGTAATTGGAATCTTTGCCCGCTTTTACCTCCAGGTTGTAAATAAGATAAATGTTTCCCCGCTGAGGTGATGAATTTGCCTCTTCCTGCCGGTCGAGTGGCCGGTGACGCCAAGCAGAGAGAAGTGCAGTCTGATGTGGAAGGCATGGAGCTACAGTCTACCTCCCAAGATGTGCTGATGAGTGACCCTGAGAAGAGCTCCCCCTCACCAAACGCCTCCCAGGAAGACTCCAGAGTATGCCAGTCAGGTAAAGTCTCAGACCCAGTGCAGCCTGGGTGGAACATAAGTTAGAGGAAGGCGCGATGGTCGTGGGATTCTGAGAACAGTTTCTCGTGACGAAGGTGAAGAAGGAGGCTCACTGTAACTATCAAAGAAGCTAGTTTCAGAATACTGGATGGGGGGCCATCCTAACCAAAGAGAAGCAGACAGGATTACGCCTAGTTCAGGACCAGCCTGTCTTACCTATGGTGTTTCAGGCTAGCAAGAGAAATACAGTGAGACGCTGTCTCAAAACAGCAGCACCAAGGAGCACCATGCTTCTAACCCAAGACTTGAGAGACAAGTGCTGGACCACACTGGAGATGGGGGTGTTTGGCGATAGATGTGTTTGCTGATCCACACTGGAGATGGGGCGTTTGGCGATAGATGTGTTTGCTGATCCACACTGGAGATGGGGCGTTTGGCGATAGATGTGTTTGCTGATCCACACTGGAGATGGGGCGTTTGGCGATAGATGTGTTTGCTGGTCCACTGGAGATGGGGGTGTCTGGCGCTAGACGTGTTTGGAAGCCCTCAGTGAGAAAAACTCCTTCGGTTCTCTTCTTCAGCCCGTATCCCCAAAACTGTCTTCAGAATATTCCGTTTTTCCTCTCTCATGCCTGTTTTCTATCTACCGTGTTGTGATTCTTCTGTAAAAGGGACTGGGCCTCACATTTGTGTTATAGTATATGGGCCTACTCTCCTCCACTGTTCCCAGTCTGCCTGAGACCTAGTAAAGTACAGTGTTACACTGTGCAGACATCTCCTGTCTTTACCTGGACCTCTCTTGTGTGAGACATGACCTCCCTGTGTATCCCTCGCTGGCCAGGACCTCATGTAGATAGATCCTGAGTGCTGGGTTGGAGGTGTGTACCTACACTGGCCTCCGTCTGTTCTCAGCAGCATCTTGTGGGTACCTTTATGCTACAAGTTTGGTGCTTTCTTATTAAGGACCTTTATACTTTTTTTGTTTTGTTTTGCTTTTTGAGACAGGGTTTCTCTATGTAGCCCTGGTTGTCTCTGTAGACCAGGCTGGCCTCGAACTCACAGAAACCCACCTGTTTCCACCTTCTAAGTGCTGGGATTAGAGGTGTGTGCCACCACTGCCTGGCGACCCTTATAAAGTAAGGATTTGACCTAGCAATCTAATTGCGTTAAAACCACGTGACACAGGCAGGCATGGCTTTGTGTTCTCATCTGATGGTGGTTTTCCCTGTCCATCTGTAACTCCCTTAACCGAAAGAATAGTCTTTAAAAATTATTGTTCCTTGTTTTTCAGAACCATTACATAGACAGCTCAATTGTGAACCCCAACTTCTTGATCCAGTAAGTTTTTATCTTAATTTGGGAAGTTTCTGTATACTTTAGATTTATGCAATTGTAAAGTTTTCTTGGCTTTATCTTGTTTCCAGTTGCTGTGGGTGCGAACATGCCGCATCATCGCAGCATGCGTATGGAGGGCGGAGGGCAACTTTGGGAAGTGCGCTCTCTCCTTCTGTTGGGGGCTCCAGGGATGGAATTCCAGGTGTCACCTACCTCTCACCCACCCTGGTTTTGTTTGCTTTCAGAATAGGGTCTTGTTCTGAAGACCACGCTAGCCTATGACTCTCCCTTTCTGGTACTGAGATGAAAATTTCTTGTATAAAATGAAAGTTGCTCACTTTTCAACTTGGCTGCAAGGTTTAAATGTGTGTCATGTGATTCCCTGTGTACATCATCTGCTGTTCTGAAGTGGGAGCGGGCGCAGCTTAAGTGGTTGCTTCTCCCGTAGCATCTGGGTTCAGGTCCCAGCACCCACATGGTAGCACAAGGCTGCCTGTAACTCCAGTCCCCGAGGGTCCACCTCCCTCTCTGGCCTTTGTGGGCAGAACACCCGTACACATAAAGTACACAGCTGCTTACATTTTAATTGAGAGAAGGCTTCTGCATACATTCTAATAATCTAAAACACTGACATGCATTCTGCTATTCGAATATGATAGGGCAAATTGCCTGAAAGCTTACCTAGTGTCTGGTTTAGATTCTGCCAGATGTTTCTAAGTGATTCAAGCTTTTATAATAAAGTATGAAAGAAGAGTCAGGTGGTGGTGCCTCGCACCTTTAATCCCAGTGCTCAGGAGGCAGAGACAGGCGGATCTCTGTGTTTGAGGCCAGCCTGGTCTACAGATCGAGTTCCAGGATAGTGGGGACTACATGGACAAACCCTGTCTTAAAACCCATAAGATGCGGCTACTACTTGTAAAAAGCACGGGGGTGGTGGGCGGTGTCTGTCCCATCTCAGCCCTCTGTGGCCATGTTCTCCTTCAGCCCTGAGGCTACTGCAGTTGTACTCTGCTGTGTTATTGTGAGTTCAGCTTTTACTCTAGGTAATCTCTTACTTGTAAATTACCAAGTTAGCCCCGCTGAAGTCTTCCTGTAAAAGTTCTTTTCTCTTGTGTATTAATTTAACATAGAGCTATGTACTTTATGTGTTTAACATGGGTTTATAGGCATATATGTATGTGTGTGTGTGTATTTAGTCTCTCAATAAGAGTACAATATGGACTCATTCTTTCTGAAATCCACCATCTTTTCAGAAATCTGATTTTGTAGTTATAAACTGTCCACTTTCTGCCTGATGCTCACTGGTATTGATGGTATTGGCGTGATCAGCATAGTTGTCTTTCTGTTGAGTGGACAGTGACCTTCAGCCTATCTCTAGACATTCTCAGTGATCTGGAATAGGACTTTGTCTCCTGTCTTTTATCTCATGAGTCTAATATAACTGTGGTAACATTGTTGGCTTACTGACACCAGCTGCTACCGTGAATCAGGAAATGACTTTGGTTTGATAATCTTTGGTTTGCTTATATTAGACTATAAGAAATTCACTGGGCTGGCAAGATGTGCCAAGCCTAATCACCCAGATTCAATCCTCAGAATTCATACTGGAAGGAGTAAACCAATTCCTGCAAGTTGTTCCGTGACTTCCCTGCCCTTGTACACACTCACTAAATAAATGTAAAGGCCAAGCCAGGAATCCACTACAGCAAATGTAGGGTTAAATAGCAGCTGATACGTGTGTCCTCTAGCCGGGGATTCCTAATGCACCTTTGTCTTGACTTCTGACCTCTTGCAAATCTGCTGTCTCTGGTCAGGCCCTGTGCCGCCTGTGTCTCTGGAGCACAGTTGTGTCACTGTCACTCTTGGTCTCAGCAGCGTGAGGCTAATTCTGTAGCAGGCCTGACATTACCCTCCTCTTAGGTCTCATCTGTTTGGTTCTGGGTGTGTAAGTAGATCTGGAAGTTATTCTGGTTTGACATCTGTAATATAATTAGAGGTGCTCTGTAGCTCTGTGTCGTCTCATTGAATCTTAGTAGTTATACTTTTCCTATGATTTCTTTTTCCATTTCCATAAATATTAAACATTAGGTACTTAAATCTAGCAGTCTATTTCGGCCCAAATTAGTGCTTGCCAAATAGTATCCTTTGAAACTCAAGTAGGGCTTGATTGGGGCAATTATAAAGATCCCAATAGGGCCACACTGTGGTGGAAGACCCGTTAATGGCTACATGGTTTAGGGTTTGTGGAACCTGCATGAGTATCTTTTTGTTTTGTTTTATCGAGGCAAGGTTTCTCTGTAGCTTTGGAGCCTGTCCTGGAAACTAGCTCTTGTAGACCTGGCTGGCCTCGAACTCTTAGAGATCCGCCTGCTTCTGCCTCCCCAATGCTGGGATTAAAGGCATGTGCTACCACCGCCCAGCGGTATAGCACTCAGGAGGCAGCGACCTATGGATCTGAGTTCGAGGCCAGCCTGGTCTACAGAGTAAGTTCCAGGACAGCCAGGGCTGCGCAGAGAAACCTTGGGTCAAAAACAGAACAATTTGTTTTTTTTTTTTTTTTTTAAGATTGCTTTCCATTAGGTCTTAGGCTTTTATAATTTTATTGTTGCTTTGGGAAACCTGCTTATTCCTTAGCACTGACTTAACTGGCAGTGTGGAAAGTTTATTTGGGACAACTCTTGATGGTGAATTCAATGACTTCTCTGTTTTTGTTCTTCAGCCAGCCCTAAGCAACGCCAGTCCCTGCACACAGGTGGAGTCCAGACAGCAAGGTCGTGCCAGACACATCTCCTTTGGGGGTGACCTCATCGTCTTCTCACCTGTGAGACTCCGCAGTCAAAAGCACCAGGAGGGTTTTTGACTTAGAAGTAATTCCAGATATTTTTTTTTCGTATCATTACTTCTCTGACACATTGTTAAATTGCTGGAAAATTTAAAAATATGCTTTAGTATTCGCTTCTCTTTGCCGTATTTATATTGTATTACATAATCTTTTAATGCCCAGTATTCATCAAGACACTTTGGTGATGCTGTACAAATTGTAGGTTTGTAAAATACTAACGTGAAGCAAATCTCTACATCTGTGTCCTCATCTTATCCTGCTCATTTGAGCAGATAACTTGGCTTTCTTTCCTTCATTCCGTTAGCGGAAGTTTTCTGGATTGAGAAGTCCATTTATTCCAGATCAGTCCCTGCTCCCTCTGGAAACTGTCTCCTTAGCAGAGCCAGCACCTTGGGAAGAGAAATGCAAGTCCAAGGCCTGAATGGGCAGCTCAGCTATTCTCTCTGGAGAAAAGGGGAGGGGGGGTGCTGGAGAGATGGCTTAGAGCGAAAGGCATGGACCACTCTGGCAGAGGACCTGTGTCTGGTTCCCAGCACCCTAGACAGGCAGGACACAACCACCTGTAACTCCAGCACCAGGGACCCTGCTGCCTCTCGCCTAAGATTTGACACCTAGTATCAGAAAATAAACAAAAAACCGGGTATCCGTCAGCACGGGAATATTTATTAAATGGATGCCTTAACAAGAAGGTTAAGGAGGAATAAGTGTAAAGTTTTCCACTCAGAATGAGCACGGAGCCTTTGCATGACACTTCAGTTATAAGAGCTGCCCCCTCTGGATTAGATCATGGTGGGTACAGCACTGGTAAGGGTTATGTCACCAGAAATCTCCATCTGGTTGATCTCCCGGAGATTTCTCATCCGATGATTGTACTGCATCGTTGACTGCAGCCTTGAAGTGGTCAGGTTCCACCAGGACTTGTATCTGGAGACCAAATACGCAAACCATCAGGTAAAGTGTGTGCTAATGCGTGTGCTAATGTGTGCAGTTTAGGCTTTCCACCATGCGTGTGTTTTTCAGGACATACTGTCTGTGATGTATAATTTCCATTTATCAATTTCTGTATAAACAGGGAAGGAAGAAATGTGTATATCGATTTTTTTTAATATATATATATATTATATAATATATTATATCGATTTTAAACCAGTGTAAGCTGAGTTTAAGAAGTCCGATATTTTATTTTATTACTGGAATGATAACAATCCAGAGACAGTAGTGAATAGCAAAGCGAATCTAGATGGTCAGAGTTAAACCACAATAAAAAGGCACCAAAATGGTCAGCAGGATAGACAATGGGAACCAGAGGAACATAATTTGCCTACACACAAGTTTAGTTTTAATGGAGCCTAAAATACCTGGAAGTTAAAAACAGCAACAGAGGAAGGAGTTCCTTAATGGCAAATATTAATTTATAGGACTGGTTAGTGTGTAGCCGGTTTGGGAAAGGTCGGGAAATACACACCCATATCCATCTTAAACCCTTTAGTGTAGAAGAGTGTAGCTTTGGAGCTGTCTAGTGAGAACATGCCTCTCCTGGCCACATCCCCAGCCTGCCAAGTTTAGCCGCTAGGGTGGGAGGAAGGCTGACCCAGGACAGACATGGCTTTCCAGTGTTCCCCTTCATAAGAGAGCGTTGTCTGCACGGCAGCAGGAACTTACTTTGAACGGTTTGCCGCTTTCAAATGGAAAAGCTGACTGTCTCTCTTCCTTTCCCCAGTTGTTAGCCTGCTTGGTGTTGCACACAATGACTCTCCTGTTGTTCTCATTGAAGCGGGGGTTAAAGTGGAAGGCGATGTCATTCCCTCTCTTGAAATTTAGGGTAATCCTGTTTTAAACCAGAAATCAAAGATATTAACATTACCAAGTCAAGAGCATCTAAGTTTCCAAAAGCAAACACTTTTTATATAGGAAGCAAATAAGCCAGAGCAGGAGGAGTTCCAGCTCAGAAGAGTAGCCTCCCACTCCCCCTCCCACTATAGTGATCAGCTCAAACGTCTAGCAGGGCAACATGTGCTGTCTGTTCACTGAGACCAGGTCTCACTGTAGCCCAGGCTAGCTTCCAGCTTGTGATTCTCTCCTACCTTGACCTCCAGGTGTGCCACCAGTTGTCTGGTTTTGAATTTGTTTTTGGAGGGGTGTTGACTGACGCTGGTGCCACTGTTCCTGACAGACACTTTTGTGCACGCATGCAAACGCCTCCTAGATATCGCATAGCCTTAGACCGCCCAACCTAAGGCCATTTATACCTTGCTGTAGATAAGAATGGCTCTTTCCTGACCTGGTAGATTGACTAGCTGTTAAAAAGCAAGTCAGCAGCCTGAGAACTGCCAAGTGCCTGCCTTTGCCGTCAGCCAGAGGTTCAGAACAGCAGGGGTGCATACATGGAGCTAACGTTTCCTCCCTTTGCTCTGCTTGGAGAGTCAGGACGTTCCACGCTATGAGATGGGTGTTGTGGAACTGATCCTTTATGCTGTGTGAGGGTGTGTCACTGTTACATGTTTAATAGAAAGCTGAACAGCCAATCGCTGGACAGGCGGTACAGAGAGGACTTCTGGATAGAGAGAGCGCAGGGAAGAAGAAAATTGGAGTCTCCAGCCTGATGGAGAGGAAGCAGGATGAGCAGTGCAGAGTGAAGGTAACAGACGGCAGCTCACAGACAAACAGAAGTGGGCTAAGGTGTAAGAGCAGGGGCACAAGCCTAAGCTGTAAGCTGAGCTGTTATAATTAGTAAGAAGTCTCTGTGTCTTCTTTCTTGTGAGCTGGCAGCCCAAGGAAAATTCTGACTACAGATGGCATTGGCCAAAGTGCCACTTGAACTTTCTGACCCGTTTCTTTCTTCTGGGTGTTAGGCATTCACAAGTCTTGTTAAGGGACTGACCCTATTCCTGGGTTTCTAAAGCTGTGTTCCATCTAATAACACTAGTAGCTAATAGGCTTGTGGTCTAGACCTAACAGTGATTGTCTGGGTATTTTAAATAACTCAGGAAGCCAGGGAAAGTGACAGCAGTGCTCGGTGTTTGTGTCCAGTGGCTCTAGTCCTTGTGTGAACAGAGATTGTCATCTGTCACGTACGCACTTTTCCATGAAGTTGTTGGACTGTTTGTGGGACAGGACCCAGAGTCAGTTTTGGCCTCTGAGTGCCCAGTCTACTTCCCTGGCACCGCTGGCACTGGATTATCTAGTGCGAGGACCTTCATGTATCAGTGTTTCTGTGTGGTTCTGCATCATGTTGAACAGACTCTGTAGAGCTATATTTTGAAAATAATGTATCATTTATACATATACGAGACAAGCTTCAGGATGTGATGGGGTACTGAGCTCAGAGCTCTGCCTGGCTGTGTGGAAAGAAGGGTGACTGAGGATAGTGCTTCTCCTGCAGAACCAGAGGAGCAAATGTCAGCCTAGCAAAGTCCTTTTTGTCCCCATTCCTTTGCCAGGCACAAACTGATACAGAGGACTTTATAGTTACATTTCTGTTTTTTGAGACAAAGTCAAGCTCTATATAGCTCATGCTGTCCTTGAATTTAGGATCTTCTGCTTCCATCTCCTACAGACTGGGATTGTGGGTGTGCACCACCATATCCAATCCCCCACCTAAAAAGCTCTTGGATACAAGGCCTGGCGGTGGTCGTGCACACCTTTAATCCCTACTTTCTGCCTACACACTAGAAGGCAGCTCAGATCTCACTACAGGTGGCTGTGAGCCACCATGTGGGTGCTGGGAATGGAACTCAGGACCTCTGGAAGAGCAGCTGGTGCTCCTAACCTCTGAGCTATCTTTCCAGTTCTTTTCTAACACGACTGTTGCCTTCTACAATATTCCCTGCATATTTTCGCTGTGCTCAGACCACACAAAAGAAGCCTCCCTTTCAAACCCTGATCCTCGGCCTTCTCCATTTCCTGACAGTAAACAGGTTGTTATTTTCTCTCTCCAAACACACTACCAGGCCCGCTCCTTTCTTCAAACATGCACTATTCACCTCAGGTCAGAAGAAACAAAAACCTCTGAGTGTTTTGTCCAGTTCCTGTCCCTCACATGATAAATCTGGAAGAGAACCAGATGTGGTAGCAGTCCCAGTACTGCCCTTTACAAAACCAGGCTCAAACACCTGAAGAATTATAAAATACCACTTCTAGGGGCCAGGAAGACAGCTCAGCAACTGAAGTGCTGATCTCTCTGTGGACCCATAGCGTCCACCAATGGAGAAGGACAACACCACAGAGCCGTCTCTGACCTCCACACTCCTGACAGAGAACACATGTACTCCCACGTACCTCTCACGTGCCACCCCAAGAAATGTTAAAAAAAAAATAGACAAACAAACACACAAAGCCTTCTAGGAACTTCTCTCGCTCACCGCTCACCTTTGCTCTGCATCACCGCCCTTCAGTTTCTACCACTCGCTATAGGAACAAAGCCGGACGCCAGTGACTCCGACCCAGAGACGGATCACGCTCGGCTCTCCTCCTCCAGCCCCACACACCCTCCAGGACACTCTGCTTTCACTGTTTTTATCTCTTCTGAGAATATCCCTTCTTGTTTACTCAGCTCTTTCTGTCCTCACGGCCCCAAATCATTCTGGGCAAATGTAAGAATCATCTCTTTGTTCTCTTCTCTAGAAGTATTTTTACTTCAAGCTTCTCACTGAGTTATTCAGAATGATTTTCTTTTGACCAGTGGAGTTCTTTAATTTTTCCTCCCAGGCATTAAACCAACTTTCCCTTTGCTCTTAGTATTTATCTGGTGTGTGTGTGTACGCTCACATGAAGGCCTGAGCATACATACGTATGTGCACCACATGCATGCCGGAGCCTGGGGAAATCGGAAGAGGGGTCAGATCCCACAGAGCTGGAGTTGCAGATGGTTCTGAGCCACCATGCCAGGAACTGCTGAGACCTCTCTCCAGACCGACTTTGACTTACTCTGAAAAAGTACTTACAATTACGAAAGGTCTTTACTTACTCGTTTTGGTACTGGCCTTTTCTGGAGCGAGGCTTTGAGGCAACTCAGGTATATTAACAAGATCTCTACCTTCCAGTGGAATGTTGACATCTCTCAAGCCGAAATGCCTGTTTCGTTCATACACCTTGTGTCTGTTTTCTTTCTGTGACAAGGACTTCCTGTGAGCAATGCTAGTTCGAATCATTTCAGTGCTTAAGTCTTTCCGAAGCTGACTGGCAAAATGGGATAAAGGCATCCTGTCAAAAAAGAGAAACAAACACCAACTTAAATGGATTTTCATTTTATTATTTAAAAAAATCAAATCAAATCTGAGACCAGGTTGTGGTGGCTGGCTCACCCTTTAGGTCCATCACCTGGGGGACTCACACAGTAGATCATTGTGAGTTTGACAGTCTGGGCTAAAGAGTAAGAGCCTCTCTCAAAGACCAAAATAAATTAATTAATAAAAACAATCATGATTTCTGTCCATCTCTTATACCACTTTGCACTCCCTTGAAATATTAAAACACACACCAGAATAAACAAGAGTAAATATGAACGTAGAACATTATCAGAGACCTACTGTGTTACTAGGGCCTATTTGGGGTTTCCAAATAGGAAGCTGCTCAACAGATTAAAATGAAGCAGAGAAAAGCTATAATCTCGAACATAGACGAGAGGCACCATGTGAAGCGGAGGCGGAGAAAGTAAAGGGCTGTGTCATAGAACAACTTCCTTAATCTTCCTCTGGTGAGAAGAAAGGAACCGGTGCCTTTCTTCTCAATTCAAGAAGCAAAAGTGGTCCGCAGGAGATGGCTCAATCCACTGAGTACCTGCCACACAACCACACAGACCTCCGCTCATCTCCAGCACAGGAGAGGCAGGCACAGCAGCACATGCCTGCAATTCCAGTGCTGCGCTGGGCAGAGTCAGGCACTCATTACCTGAAGCCCTTCGGCCAGCCAGCCCAACTGAATCAATGAGCTGCAGCTTTGATGAGAAAAACTCTGATTCAAGAAACTAGGAAGAGAGCTGTCTTATTCTACTGTGCAACAAGACACCATGACCAAAACAAGGGTTTGTTTGGCTTACACTGCCCTCGGCATTGCTATCCTCCACGCTCCCACAGAACAGCCTTAGCTCTCAACATGCAACGGCTTCTCTAGCCCTAAGTTAAAATCTTTCACAATCCTCCCCAACACATGGTCAGGTCTGTCACAGCAATACCCCACTACGTGGGTACCAACTTGTCTTAGTGAAAATTTCTATTGCTGCAACAAAACACCGTAACAAAAAGCAAGTTGGGAAGGAAAGGATTTATTGGCTTACACTTCCAGATCATAGCCCAGCCCTCCCCATCAATCACTAATTAAGAAAATGTCTTACAGCCAGATTGTATGAAGGCATTTTCTCAACTGAGGTTCCCTTCTTTCAGACAACTCTAGTTTGTGTGGCAAACTGACGTTAAGACTAGCCAGACAAGAGCCATAGAGGACGATGCCTGCCGTTGACTTCTGGCCTCCACAGCACACACAAATCATCCTAGCATAGGGATTGGGGGACTGACACAGAAGGCTCAGTGCAGTTCAAAGCCAGACTGGGCTACCACATGGAATAGGGTTTGAAGCCCACCCACTCTCATTTCAGTAATACACACTGTGAATATGCTCTCATGACCTCAGCACCTGGCTAAAGCCAGCCTATAAAAGACCATGACGTTGCAATCACAAAACCAAAATCCAGTACGTGGGAGGTAAGGGCTGGCTCATAGTCTTAGCTCCACAGGGTGTTCGAGGCTGCTGGGAGCTACAAGAGACCTTGTTTTAATCCTCTCCCCACCAAAACACAAACAAATGAAAAGAAAAAAAAAGCAAACTAGAGAAAGAATTTAAGCAAAACTTGGTAATACACTTAACCTCATCAGTTTGCCCCCATTATTTTTGTCCATCTTAGAAATAATCCTTTGTAAAGGCCTTTTCTTAGAAAGATAGGTTTTGTTTGTTTGATGTTTTTGGGGGTGGAGGAACAAGGAGGCTTCTCTGTGTAGCCCTGGCTGTCTGGGACTCGCTCTGTAGACCAGGCTGTCCTGGAACTCACAGAGATGGGCCTTCCTCTGGTCTCCTGTGTGCTGGGATTAAAGGCGTGTGGCGGCACCACCAGACTTGAAAGATCTCTGCTAATGTATTCAGCAAAACACAGAAAGACGATAAGGACCACAATAATTCCAAAAGTATTTGTATTCTAGTTTGTGTTCTGTTGTTACGATTCCACACTGCCTAAAAGATACTTAGGAGAGAAGACTGACAGGCCAGCGAGGGAAATGAAGGTAGGAACCTAGCGGCAAAACCTGAATGACCATAGAGGAACCCTACGCAGTGATTAAAGCAGCTGACTGAGAACAGCCGCTACTTCCCAGCTTTACGTGATGAGCAAATGTGGCTCTCACGTCGGCCCTTGCGTGTGCTCTCATACTCCCCAGTATTTTAGAACACCATTAAGATTTAGCTTTTCTTTAAGATTTTCAAAAACTTAATAACCACAGGTGGTAACAAATGACAGAGTCCTCAGAAAAAGCAGAGGCCGCAGTATTAAACTAGGTCTTAAACTAGGTTAAAAGAAGTGAAGACAAATATCCCAGATGGACTATATGTGACAGGACATACACATGTATTGGGCCCTGGGTTCAATTCTCAACAAAATAACTAGGGCTTTAAGAGACATTTCTCCCAAAAAAGATATACTAACAAACATGAAGAGATGGTTACTCACATTAGCTGTTGGGGAAATGCAAATGATGTCCCAATGAGATACTCCAAGCCTGGTGGTAAGGAGCTGTAAACCCAGCTAAGGCTACAGCTTAGGGATGGAGCACTTGCTGAGCATGACCCAGAGCTCCAGAGCCCCACTTCTGAGCACTACTGCATTAGCGGGAAAGGCTCCAATGCAGGAGTCCTTGGGAGACATTTCAGATTCAAACCACAACTCCAGATGAAGAGTGAAATCAAGCAAGTTACTACATTGCCATACCTCACTCTGTTGAAGCCTTAAGGGCTCCGATAGGAGATATGTTTATTTGCACACTGTGGGACAACTGGAATCTAATGGAGTTCTCCCCACTATCCCATCCCCATTAAGCTGAAAAGATGCTACACTAGGCACAAGGTAGATGCTGTATTTTTCTTTTGACCTTTCAGCTTTGTGTGTATATATAGTGTGTGTACAGAAGAACATGCACATATATGCACAGGTGTGGAGCCAATACAGGGTGTCTTCATCACTCTTTACTTCAATTTTGAGACCAGGGTCTTTCACTGAACCTAGAGCTCTCTGACTCAGGTAGGCTGCCTAGCTAGCTAGCTAACTCTATCTGCCTCCCTAATGCTGGGATTACAGCATTATTGTGGTGCCTAGCTTTTTATGTAAGCGCTGGGGATCTGAACTGAGTCATATCAAGCCAAAACTCAGCTCCTTTTCCACCAACAGAATAAACAGTCTTTGCTGGGGATATAGCTTAGCACAGTACACCTGTTCAGCATGTACAAGGCCCTGGGTTGAAGACTCAGCAATGCCAAAAGAGAGGGGGGAAAATGTGTGTGTGTGTACACACACACTCCTTGTCTGTTTGTCCTTGCTATCATTACAGAACACAGTAGTCTCCAAAATAAATATTTTTTATTATTTTAAGCTCCTAAATTATTATTTTTATATTTATTTATTTGTTTGTTTTTTGAGACAGGGTTTCTTTGTGTAGCCCTGGATGTCCTGAAACTCATTTTGTAGACCAGGCTGGCCTTGAACTCTGAGATCTGTCTGCCTCCCTTGCACAGTGGCAGACCAGTAAACATTCAGGACAAGGGGCAGGTATGACCTTCAGATGCCCACCCTAGTGACCTTCTTCCACTAGCCAGGCCCCACGTCCTAACATGCCTTCATGTGTACGCGCGCGTGCTTGCACATGTGCATGCCTGTGTGTTTTCCATTGCTTCAAGATTGTTCTAAAAGGCAGGAAACAAGGTACTGGGATTAAAGGTGTGTACCACCACACTGGGTTCCACTCCTAAATTATTTTTTAATTAATGAAAATACTTTTAAACACAATTTTTTTCTTTTTTTAAAAAATATTTTCTACTTTATTTATCTATTTATTTATTATGCATACAATATTGTTTCTGCATGTATGCCTGAAGGCCAGAAGAGGGCACAAAACCTCATTACAGATGGTTGTGAACCACCATGTGGTTGCTGGGAATTGAACTCAGGACCTTGGCATTGAAGTCAATGCCATCTCTCCAGCCCCCACAAATATTTTCTATGTAAACTATTTTGCTGCTAACTTCATAGTTACATTCTTCCTACTTTCTGCAGGTGACAAATGTCTTCTGAGCATTTGTTAAGTACTTGGAATGCAGTAGACAAAGAAACAAAGCTCTCAAGGACTAACAGAGTTAAAAAAGGCTATAAACAGCAGACATGTATAAGTATTTCAGGCCAGGCACAGTGGCACACATCTTTAATCCCAGCACTCAGCACTCAAAGAGCACAGTGCTAAGGTAAAAAGATGGATCACCCACCTAAACTACACTTGTTACCCAGTATACACACTTGTGACTGCTGCCTCTGACTGACTGTAGTATTTAGAGAGGTGAAGCGCAAGGGAGTTGGGAAGCACAAAGGAAAATCAGCAGTGGCAATTAAATAGGAGTTAGATTTATCTATTTAATGACAGCAACCCAGACACGAAAAGGCACCAATAGGAATCTCAGGGCCAATGCTTGCTGGTCTAGTTAGTTAGGTAACGGTGGATGTCAGCAATGCACAAACCATCAGACGCTGCCCCAGCTTCTTAGAGCTCCAGTCTCCCCTAAAAAGTACGTACTCGTGAAACAAAACAACTTATGTACTCACTTAACAAATCTCTCTGTAACACTATGGTTTGTGCCATTTCAATGTAAAGTAAGCGGTAAAAACCTTAGGACGGACCCTGAAGTCACACAGCTCAGTAGCGGAGTCTTTGACATGCAGCCTTCACTGCCGTGCTGTCAAGCTCTAGGAAACAGGAGAAATAAGGAGAAATCTGACCTCCGGACAAATGAAGGATTCTGCACTGGAAGTATCTCAAAACCCCTGCTGTAGGTAATGGGTACCAAGCTCTCATTAAAGTTTCTTTAATTAGTGATAATTCAGAAGTATGATCACTTGCATTATAATATTTACGTTCCCTTCCCTCCTAGAAAGCACAAAACACTGCTACTGAGTT